ATGCCCGAAATCTCAGAGACACACTAATACTATACTAAGGTCCTATTACCCCCCTGAACTTATTTTATTAATAATTTTTTACCCCTTTTTAGCTTACGTGGCACTATCTTGTGGGCCCAACGATGGTTGACTTTTTTTTTGAACTAGTGCCACGTAGACTAAAAAGGGGTAGAAAATTATATATAAAATAAGTTCAGGGGGTAATAGGGCCTTAGTATAGTATAAGTGTGTCTCAGGGTTTTCGGGCATAGGTTGAGGGGTTACTTGGGTATTTTCCCTAAAGATAAAGATAACTCATCAAAGTTGAAGGGATATTTAACTCCATCACAACATGATGACTTGGTTCATGTATATTAGTACATTTGCATCAATTCACATACAACTTTTGATGTTTTATTGTTTTTAGGGATGATGCTCAAATATGCCCCTAAAGTATTTGAAAAGATCTAGATATACCCTCCTTTTAAAGTTTGGGTCACTCCTCACCGTCCAATTTTTTGCCCACATATGCCCTTATAGGTATTAGTTGGTATATTGGACATATCCAACTCATTTTTATTTATTTAAATGCACATGAAATTGTCGTGTCATTTTGACCTTAACACATGACATTTATATAAAAATAGAGAATGATCCGAACTCATAAACACCTAATACGACCCATAAATCAATACCCCTTTTAAATAATCTACCCGACCCATTTTTAACAATTTTGATTAATTTTTATTTTTTCGATATATCCCAAAAATGAATAATTGATTAATAAATTATAGGAAAAATATGAAAAAATAATATAAAATTAATACCAAAAATTTAAAAGTAAATATAGTAACTTTAAATCCAGCAATTTCAATATTTTAATTAAAATTTGATTTTTTTGGTAAATCTCGTAAATAAGTAATTGATTAATAAAAAATATGAAAAGTATGAAAAAAATAAAAAATTAACGTCAAAAGTTCACAAATAAATACACTAACCTTTAATTCTACATTTTTTATTTTTTTTGACAAATT